CTGTGTGCAAAGTACAGCAAGACCTCTATTCCTGAAGAAAAACGAGTTTGTGCTTTTTCTCACGTTTTGAAGATTTGTTTGGGGAATTTTTGAGTAATGCTACAAAAAATTTGTTGACAATTTATAACTCAAAACCAGATCTGTTTTGCCTGGCATTCCCTCTGTCCCTCTGGGTTTTTTATCATCATACTTACTTGTAATAGTTTTTATTGCTGGAACAAGAGCAAATAGTGTGTGAGATGATGGCAGAGAAGTCTTGCAGAGACTTGCTGTAGCCAGATATTTTTTTTCCACAGATAAATGAAGTTGTCAGAATTATTAATGCTTAGACTATAAAAAAACTGTGTTTTCCTCAGAGATAATGCTTCTCCCTACCCTCTACCCCATCCCAAATGGTCTATGCCACTTTTTGTTAAAATGATTAATGTAACTGACAAAGTTATCTAGGAACTTAAAAACTCTGATTGCTCTCAAGTTTCACTAGGATGTTACTTTGCCATATACTGCATTTGCAGCATATGCCCTCAGATGTGTAAGCAAGTGTCTTTTGGGGAATTCAGTTGTCTTGGTGAAGTTACAGGGCATTGCTCATGCATTAGGACCTGTACTTTTCTCGTATAGATCAGCTGCCAAAGAACTTGATGCAGAAAAAAAATGATAAAGGATTAAGCATGACATCTTGATGAAAATGGTTCTCAATATCAAATATAAAATGAGACCTAACCTCAATGGAAAAATACAAAATACCGGCAAGAGGCATTTTGAAGCCATATCAAATATGGTCTGAAGTTTAAAGAATGTGTGAAGTCTAGAATAAGCAAATAGATTTGTTTCAAACGTCCTTCAAAGTTTCATGAACAAAAATTCTGAAATTATTCTAGTCTGGCTCTTTCATTTATGCATTTAATTTTGGAGTATAAATATATAAGCAATTTGGGGAAAAAAAAAAGGATGCAGTGATAAATTTGACATTAATTTATTGAATAACTTGCCATGATTTGGAGTGTGTCTTACATTAACATAGTCTTTAACTCTGTTGGTGGAGGGATATTCCTGTAATTTCAGAGGCACAGTTGTATTTTTTTACTTTTTGTGTCTTATTTGTGTGTTTCTTCAGCAGTACACAAAGTACAATGCAACAGTGAGTGAACTTCCTGGGTGCATGCAGAGGCTCATGCCTCAAAAAACTGAGGAGAAGTGTGATAATTTATTTACAGGGGAATTGAGATGAATCAATAAAATGGCTGTGTTGAATACTGTATTCTGGCTTGCATTGGGAGGCAACCAAAACACACAGCTGAAAAACAAAGAAGAGAGACAGGAACAGGCTTTTGTGGGGCTTTGGTGTGTATAGGACAGTCTTGCAGTCAATGAAGCAGATGTCCTTGTAGACCCACTTCGTAGTTTTTTTCTATGGTGTCACGGCCATATACATATATATGTATATCATGTATATCATGGATATATCATTAGAAGCTTTGCTGACAACTCAAACAATTCCCATGGTGCATGGTTTATAGAATACATCAAAGTGGCTTGGCTTGTTGAAACACAGTTTCTTACTGATATACATATCAGAGCTTTATTTTTTTAGTGGCATTTGTGGTTATGCCCCTTTAACTGCTGACAGATTTCTAGCACAGAGCAGTGAAGCCAAGCACATCTTAAGGCAAAACTGTCTTAAAGCTGATTTCACTTATCCTCTTAAAGCATAGCAGTCACTGGATATAGTCTCAGTATTTAAGAGAGAGTCCATAATAGTAAGTCTGGTCCTTTCACCTAACCCTTTCTGCATTCCTTTGTAATTTAGTTTAGAAATGTTTGGTATTGTTACATTGGCAAGGACTAAATGTTAGTTACTTCGAGTAACCCTTTATAGCCTTTCTTTAATGTGTTTTAATAAAAGTTTCTGTTACCCAGTTTAAGTTTAAGAAGGGCCACGTGTACATTAAATAATAACTTAATAAAATAATACATAGATGAGAGAAAGGTAAATATTTATGTACAGATGAGTGGCAGCTGAAAAAATGGCTGTTCACCATCAGTATGATGTTGTCATTCCAGCCAAGCTATGCTAAGTGTCAGCTGCAGCTAGTAAAGGCTGCATTTTTAAATATTTGATGCTCTGTGGAAACTTGTGCAGTGTTGTACCAGAAAGTGAACTTCTTTTCTATTGTGTTTCTTCCCGTTCAGAGTGAGCACAGGTGTGGCAGAGGTACAGTAACATTATGGCTACTTACAGCGGTTATTTGGGTTATAGAGTAAAACTCACAGTACCAGCCATGTAGTTTTCAAAAACAGTGTTTTCTTCCTTAATTTGACTGGAGAGATGATTTCCCCCTTTTCTAATGAAGAATGCTCCCAGCTCCCTTTCTCTGTTTGGGTAGGGACCTTTGCAATGCTATTCAAGCAGTGCACAGTACCTGCTCTGATATATTTGGCTTGGATTCTGTAGAGAAGAAGCTTGAAGAGGTGTTATTGGAACTTTTTTAAAAAAAATTGGCCTTATGACTCAAAACAACATGTTGCCTAGTACAAAAGGAATTGCTGCTGCAGTTTAAAAGTAAATGAATGATCATGTTGTAAAGGAACAAATCCTAGTTTGGAGAAAATTATCTTATCCGCTTGCCACTTGTATGCTGTATGTGTGTCATCTTGAAGCTGTCTGCAAATGCTTTTAAAACATCACTGGATGTGTTCTGTGTGCAGGCAGATAACCTAGTGGAGCAGAATAGAAAACACTTCTACGAGCTGTCCCTCGAGTACGTGTGCAAGTTGCAAGAGATACAGGAGCGGAAGAAATTTGAGTGTGTGGAACCTGTAAGTACCAGTGAATTCGGCCTACCCTGTGTTTCTTAAGGGTAGGCTGAGAAGGAATGCAACTGGATAAAAGCCAAGCTCTGTTTTCTGGAAAACACATGTAGTTGTGTGATTTAACAGAATTTAAAGCAACTTGTTAAATCTGTACAAATTCCTGGTACGGGTACACATAACCAGGCACCTCAAAGCTTACCTCAGTAATTACAGCGGTTTTGGAGCCACTGATGCTGAGTTTCAGAAAATGTGTGAAACCTTTTGCTGTACTGCAAACCCCTCAATGTACTGTGTGTGATAGAACAGAGGATTCAAGAAATTTATGTTGGTGTCAGGCTTCTTGCACTGGGGCTTTTTTACCAATGAAATAATGTAAAGACTCTAATTTTCATTATGAAGGTGGAATATAGAGGCCTGCTAGGAAAGCATTGCAGATATGAATTAATTAAGAAGGTACTGCTGGATAGAAAACCCATTATTAAGTAGCCTTATATGTTTAATTTCACTTGCAATTGAATCTGCATAGAAATCAAGGGATTCCACTGAGTTGCGGTGAAAATCGTATGTGCACTTTCCAGACTTACTTAAATCTCTGAGAAGAGTTTATTCTAAAATTTTCTGAAATGTGCATTAGCTTTGTAGTATAAATAAAATTTATCATACACTAGGAGAATAGTAGGTGCAATACTGAGAAAAAGGGATGTTGGACTGTAGAAAAGTTAAATTTGCGCATGCTCTGAAATCTGGTTTTTTTGTGCCAAGTCTGTCCTTTTATTCTGATACAATTACTTTAGTGTAATAATGAAAAAAGTTCCAAATGACTCCAGTCAAAGTAATTGATCATTATGGAGCTCATAACAACTGTCTATTTTAATATAGTTTATCATTGTATGAAGAAATTGCTAAAATCCTAAGGGGGAATAAATTGCTGGGAATAAATTGCTGTATTTATATTAACATTGTTCAAGGAATGTGAAAATGCTGTGGAAAAAAAGCGTTTAAAAAAGCATTTAAAAGTTGTGTTGGATTTTGTATCTGTTGGTTTTTTTAATTTTTTTTTTTTAAATCCTAAATAGTTTTGCATTTGGTTAATGTGTTTAAAACCATTTGAAGTTTCCTCAGAGCCAGACTAGAGTAATAAATCTTCAAATGATGTGTTTGAAACATGTCCCCTTCTCGTTTCTGAAAACTCCCTCTGGATGGGGCTGAACTTCATGTTGCTTAATTTGGATTTGCAGTTTACTCTAGAGTAATAAGCTGAAATTTAGTACCAAATTCTTATTCCCTTTTCCCTTAATAATACTTTATGTATTTTTTTTTCATTTTTGAAAACGATTTGTTTGCATATGACTTCAGAGTTTACTAAATAGGTCCTTCGGTTTGTTTTCTTTAGAGAGTTGTTCTTTCATTTGTCACTTGCTTCTTTCCAACAACCTGAACCAAACGAGAGAGATAGACAGGACTGCACGTTGTATCAGCGTAGAATAATTCATTCCTTCTTCTAAATTGTAAGTGCTGAAGTCAGAAACTGCAAAGCGGATCATTTGCTGTTGCTGACAGAAGGTCAGATCTGTGCACAAAAAGCAGTGATGGGTGAAGTTACTGAATGGAAAGCTTCCTTCTTTGAACAAGCAAGATGACTCTGATAAGAAAGTCATCTCCACATGATCATTAGCAAAGAGGGGAATGACCAGGCAAATGGTGACTAAAAGATAGGGTGATCATTACCTCCTTGTGCACAAATATCTATTCCAGACATCAATGGTATCAGAACATCCGTAGGAAAACATTGCATAGGAAAGTTTTGGGAGATAGGGAATATACATTCCCTATGGTCAAAAGGAAAGTAGAGATCAGCTGTGAAATTCCAGAGGCAGGATCGCCCAGGAGTGCCCCTGTGCAGGCAATTGTATACAAGTAAATGGAGTTTTTCATTCTAACAAGTCTTATTTCTATTTCAGGTGCTATCGTTTTTTCAGGGTTTGTTCACTTTCTATCATCAGGGATATGAACTTGCTAAAGACTTCAATCATTACAAAATGGCCCTGCAGATAAATATACAAAATGTAAGTTGAGTCTACTTATGTGAGTAAAATCACCTGCTAAGGTTGGTGCGTATGCAGTATCTGTACCGCCAGTACTTACCTCGGTGCTGGTGCATTGCTTGGGAACTTTGGGGATATGGTGCCATCTCCTGGATAATCAGCCACATCGCCGAGCAAATCATTGCTAATTCCCACGAGTTCTTTGTCACGTCTAATAATACCGTAGATAAATAAGCACTAAGTAAAAGGCTCCCGCTCCTTTTAATATTTTTCAATAGAGAGATAGCGCAAGGATTATTATTATGAAAGAGTTGAAAAATGAATGAAGTCTGTAAAAATGCATACAGAACTGGAGGATTCAGAGGATGGGTAATGAAATGCTTAGGTTTTCAATGTTTTAGGTGTATTTTAAAATTGAGTGTGGTGGCCATTGCTTGATAGGGCTATGTTATCGATAGGGAAGAAAAAAAGCTCGGAGTTTTTTTTTAGTTAGGTTTGTGGTGGTGTTTTTTGTTTGTTTGTTTGTTTGTTTGTTTTGACATCTCTACCAGTGTGTGACTTGGAGTTTCTATTTGTCTTGCAGCTGCCCTTTCAGGCAAGGAACATCTTGGTGTTAGCACCCATGATGTCTTTGACAAAACAATGTGTTCCTTCAAGGACAGGCTAAAGGGGGCCACTGCTAGTTTAGCGTACCCTCCTACCAGATTGCCCAGTGTGATCTGGTCGGGAATGGGAGAACAGGGAGCAAGGTGACAGGCTGGAACAATGGGACTGACAGAGCCACTAATCAGGTGGTCTGTTTGCTTCCTTGGGATTTGTTGAAGAATAAGACTTGCTCAGAGGAACTTGCATGTACCTGTTGGTAGGAAGCAAACCATGTACCTTAATGCAAACAATCAGTTCATGATGGTGCATCTGTTTTGTTGACCTCTGATGGCATCTGGACACAGCAACCACTTCTTGGAGATGGCAGTCTGTTTTTAGAAGTGGCTTAACTAGCAGGGAGGCGGAAAGGCAGAAGAGAGGATTACAGGTGTTGTAACACACAGTGACGTGATTCATGTGTCATGGTACCATTAGTTTAATTTTCTTCCCATATGTTTAAGTCTCAAGTTTCCTTTTGAGCTGTTGTTTGGTTTGGGAAGGGAAGGGGAACTGATTAGTGGTAACTTCATAAGCAGACTTTTGTGGCAGAAGTCAGTGCTTCTGGAGGAAAGTTTAGGACAGGCTTGCTTCTTCTGTGTGCTTAGCTTAGCAGAGGGAGGAGCAGCAGTGGATAGAGGGAAGGTGATGCAAGATGGGCAAGAAATGAAACGTGAGAGGGAAGCTCTGATACAGTGATATGGTTTTGAGGAGGTAGATTTCAGATTAAAGATGGAAAAGAGCCAGTGGAGTGATCTGAAGAAGGTGATGAGTATTAAGGAAGTAAGCTAACATCAACAGCTGCAGATTCAATTGACTGAATGGTATTATAGTGTGCCCCAGCAAATTCTAAAGATCAAATTTTATGACTAGATAGAAAAAAAACTGTAGAAAGAAAGGAGGACAACAATTAACAACTATTTAAGATAAGAGGAGAATAGAAGGAAGCATCTGAAGAGATCATGAGAGGTCATGGCACATTCTTCACTGTGTTGAACAAAAATTCCCAAGGGAAAAATGAACTGAGGCTTGGCTGTGGTACAGCTGAGCTGCTGGCAGAACACGGGGTTGATGTGTTAGCAGTTGAAGGGTACAAGGTTCAGTATGGAGAGCCTAGCTGGATATGGAGAATGATTTGAGAGTTGCCAGTGTAGCTCTAGTAATTGCTTTACCTTTCTTTCAGGTTGTCTTTACTTTGAGAATTATGCTGTGGATTTCCTCTGCCCACCCTGCCCCATACCCTGTTTTCCCCTCACTGCCCTCTACCCACCCCGTCAAATGAAAAAACCAAAAGAGACCCAACCAAGCCTTGCAACCCAAGCCACTAGAAAGCTGATTCTTCCAACAGTCATCTTCTCTTATAGAACCCCATATCTCCAACTACATTCTCCTGCACTATCAGGACTTTTCTCCTGTTATCTCAGGTCTGTGCCCAGATCCATACAAGGATCCTTGCAGCCTTAACCATGGTCTTTTTCCTTGCTAGGAAATCTGATCTTCCCTGGGAAGAGGGGGCATAGCCACACAGCAGCTGTGGTTGACTCCTGGTTAAGCTCAGCTTTGTCATAGCACAAAAGGAAGATAGAAATTTCCTTCAGGTTCCTGGAGCCCATGGTGCTTCATCCCACCGTTCACAGGATGCATTTTACACATTTGAACTTGTGATCACTTCACAGCTTAGACAAAGACCCTGGCAGGATCATTCAAAGCATCTAACTTCGGAGTGATCAGTGCTCAGACAGGAAGGTTTAGGTATGAACAGTCTGTCACTAACAATTTTTTTGCTTTTGTCCTGTGGACAGAATATGTGTTTTAAGGGAACTCTTTTAGGAAATTATGAAAAGAAGCTTATAAAATTGTTAGGAACCTTGGAAATTAGTTATGTGCAGGGTCTAACTCCAAAATTTGCCAGCAGATGTGAGCAGAAATTGGGATGATGGATATGGGGGAGGGTTTAGAGCAGTTGCTTTGCCTGGAGGTAAGATAGGCCATTTTTCTTAGTCATCACCTAACAAATATCTTCAGCTTTCCTCTGTAAAACATGTGGATATGGTGGCTACTCAGATCTGCTTGCATAGACTGTGTTTGTGCCCACAAATAAACTTCTGTGCATAAATCTGAAATTTGCACGTACAGATGGCTGGTCAGGAGTTAGAACTGTCTATAGACAAACACTGGTACTTGTTTATACTCGGGTCAGTGTATGCTTATCCTGGGGAAAAAATAAAATAGGTGAGGCAACATTTTCAGAAGCTCATCCATTTTCAGAAAGCAACAAGACTCATAAGCATGCAACTGGAAGTCTGTGCTTTCCTCAGAATGCATGTACCAGCTGGGGAAAGTACCTGATGGAATTTAAATGCGTATTTTCAGTGTTTGCTGTTTGGACAGGTGCATATGTGCTGAAAAAACAAGTATTATCATGATTGTTTTGGTTTTATTTACTCATTGACTGATTATCAGTGTTTTTCAGACCAAACTGAAGAGTTTCTTGTGTCAGGTGTGCACTGCTCTGTTATTTTGTGTAGTCCTATTGTGTAATTTGTGGATTGTATGGTTACTTTCTGTTTGTTTTTACTAATATTCTAATAAATCTCTTGTTGGCTGCTTACTGACTTTGGAAGTGACATTCAGGAATAATAATCAACTGGACTTTCAGGGATTTTTTGGAGTTTGTTTTTGCTTCTGCTTGTGTGTGCTCTAAACACTGGGAATGTATTTGTTGATGACCTTTCTGTCTTTTTTTGTTTCCTCAATAACCACAGAAAATCCTCTATTTCCTGACAACTAGTAAGAATATCATGAATTAAGCCAGTATGTGTAGTAATATTTCAGTAAGGAAACTTGAATATTCAAATTAATTTTGCACTCAGTATTTCACTTCTTTCTGAACAGGTCAGCACATTGTTATAGAAATCTACTCTGGCACTCTTTATGTGCTTTTCACAGTCATAGCAGCCAATATCTAAACCATACATTAATTCTGAAGGATATCAGGGAACCTGGAGAGTAAATATGTATGGAAATTGTGCACTGACTGTCCTAAAATAGCCTGAGTCATTCTCTCATTTTACAGTTATTTTTGGTGAGTTGACCCTGGCTGGATGGCAGGTGACCACCAAAGCTGCTCTGTCACTCCCCTTCTCAGCTGGAGAGGTTGTGGATTGAGATAGGGCAGGGAGAGATTACTCACCAGTTACTATCACAGGCAAAACAGGCTTGACAGGGGAAGGTCAGTTTAATTTATTAGGGCAGGGTAACAAGAAATAAACCCCAAATCTTAAATGTACCTTTCCGCCATCCTTCCCTTCTTCTGAGCTCAACTCTACTGCTGATTTTCTCTACCTTCTCCCCCTTAGTGGTGCAAGGGGGACAGCTTCTCACAAAGGCCCCTTCTGTGGCACCCCTGGACACTAAAACCTTGCCATGTAAACCCAGTTCATGATTATAACTCCTATCTGCCAGGAAGAGTAAGTATTTTTTCCACTCTCATTACTAAAGAGCTTTTGCTGTCTTCTTTTAGACACGAAATCGTTTTGAAGGAACAAGGTCAGAGGTAGAGGAGCTCATGAACAAGATCAGAAGGAATCCTCAGGAGCATAAAAGGGCAAATCACTTCACCATGGAAGGCTACCTCTATGTACAGGAAAAAAGTAAGGTGTATTTTGTATTCCATAGTGCCCATATTGTGCATGTAGGCAAGTCTTATTTCTCCAGGTAACATAAAGAAGCAAAGTATTTAGAGTTTATTTAACAGTCATCCAAGTAAATGTTCAAAACCTCTAATGGAAGTGTTACTATGGCTCATAAAAAGGACATGGAGCTGTAAGTGCGACAGTTCTTAGTAACGGTGTCTGAATTTGGGAAAGTTTTAGTTGACCAAAGAATGGATTTCACATTATTTATAATCCCCTTCTAATGACCTCCCCTAGAACTGTCAAACATTTTTTGTCAGACAACATGAGTTGTCAAATTAGACTCTCAAAATTGGGCTTGTTTAGTATGCTGAAATTGGAGGTCATTTCCTTGATTCAGTGATGTGCTTTCAGTACCTAATTCTGATCATAAGATCAAATAAAGCAGGGCTATATGTTAGGTAACTGCTGTTAAAAATCGTGCTATGAAGGTGTATGTTACACAAATAATATCCTGGCAATATTTGAAACAATTATAAATCTTTCTCACACTAGTAAAAAAGCCAAATGCAGAGCACTTGCTGCTGAAGGAATGGAAACAAAGTAATCTTTTTTAAAACATATTGCCTAAATCATATTTTTAAGATGTCTGCCTTTACAGAAGGAGAAGATTCCTTTGCAGACCTTAGGGAAGTGAAGTGATAGAAGTGAGCAGATAGGTAGGGTGAGAATCCAAGTATGAACAGTTACCATTATGATGCAAATCTCAACAATACTCTATTGCAGTAGGCTGGGCTCTTAAGTAAGTATATTCTATGTAGGGTGTGCTCTGCTGAGTAGTTAGAAGTGACTTTTAGGTGTCAGAAGTTGTGATCAGACTTTAATCAGTAGGTAGTGTAGAACTTGCAACACAGGTTGCAATCTGTGGTTATTTAGCTTCAAGTTACCAGGCGTAAATCTAGCTTTCCATGTTCTGCTAAATAAAGTTTCCAAGAGGTATTTATTTTATAGGGGAATATTATTTTGTCAATAGTAGTGAAACAAAGATATGTAATAATTCTTTACAATTGTAATTAAGCATATATATAAAATACTACATTTAACAGGTCTTAGAATAGTATTTAATGCTTTCATGTTATGTAGGACCTGCTCCCTTTGGTTCCAGTTGGGTGAAGCACTACTGCATGTATAGGAAAGAGACAAAGAAGTTCACCATGATCCCATTTGAACACCGATCAGGAGGAAAAGTTGTGAGTATATTTTAATATTCTACTCTAATACTTGTTGCGTATCGAGATCAGAGGATGTGCCAGATAAGATGTGTCAAGAACTCTCCCTCTCTACCCTCCTTGCCCCTTTTTTACTCTTTCCTCATGCAATTTATTCTACCATATAAGTTATGGATGGATTAAAAGATAGGAATTCTGTACACTTTCCAGTTGCTTCCTTTTAGAAGACCAGAGGACATGGTACAAATAACACTCAGTGTTTCACTATTTAGAATCCAGTTTATTCATGAGGCATTTAACTTATTGAAGTATAAATCAGGAAAATAAAATAGACTTAAAAATTCCTTTCTTACATGTTCCAGTCAGATTTTTAATTTTTTTTAGAGATTTAAGAACTAGAAGTGGGATTAGAAAAATGGATTTTCATAGGGATATAATTCGTGCTGATAACTGAATGTAATTTCAGATATCTTTGATAGTATCTGAAATATTCAAGACCCGAGACTTTGTTGATCTTTAAATGGCTTTAATTCCTTCTGAAATAGTTGGGAATTGATGGCACTCAGCACCTTCAGAGATGACACATTGAATGAATGCATTAATATGGATGAAATGCATTTTGTTGCAAGGAAAAAGGATATCTGAAGCTGGAAAGTAATGCTTCAGTCAATATGCCTGTAAATGCAGTACCCTGTCCTGTCTTCAAATTTGGATAGAAAATCATGTTGTTGTAATTTTATCAAGTTATTATATCCTGTTAGTTTGAGCAGAGGGGAGATGATTTTCATCATTTGAGGACTGTGTATATTTACACATGTATTGAACTTGGAAGAATTTTTCAAAAGCTCTGGAAAACCTGATGTACTGAAAATTAGTGGTATTTGGCTTCCTTAATCTCATCAGTACTTCTATGAATTTTTTATCCTGATTTACTCTTAATTGTAATAAATCATTTTAGTTAATATAATATATAGTATATGTCCAAGTATTCAGCATTCTAAAACACTTTTGAAGCCATTTTTGCTATATTAGAAGACCTCCTGTTTGGAAACCCACAATGCAATGACTCTTTCAGTGACAATCTTCTGTGTCAGAGGTGCTGAAAAAGACAATAAATAATTGAAATGTGCAGTTAATCCTGATTAAATCTGGTACAACTCATGCAGCATCCACAGATCAGTTTATGTGATTTCTGGGTAAAAAAAGATCCTAGTGCTGATTGGTCTTGAAATAAAAATGCTTCTGTAAGACAGGTTATAGTTTAGAGCATTGCTCTAGTTGGTGTAGCAATAACCTTTACTACAGAAATCACTGATCACTGTGTCTGACAAAAAAATGGGAGAAATCTCTTACACTCATTGTGTGCTTATATTGTAACAGGTGCAAAACCTTTATGGCAAAATACTTCTTGTTAGTTCAACTTACTGTGATACTGAGCCATGCTGTAAAGTTCCAGCTGAAATGGACTCAATGTTTTTGCTTTATGGCTCGTAAATGGCCGTAGAATTTATATGTTGTTGTGCAGAGAAGTGAAAACAAATTCTTTTGCAAGTGTCAGTTTTCAGCATAGCATTTGCCATTATTTTAGTATAAATTTACCTTAGTTGTTTAGTATAGCTGGCTTATTGGAGCTTTCAGTTACTGGGTCGAGCATATGAAAACTTTCTTTTTACAGGGTGATGAGGAACTGTTCGTCCTCACCTATTGTACCAAAAGAAATACAGATACAATAGACAGACGATTCTGTTTTGACTTAGAAGCTTCAGACAGGTAAGCTTGTGAAACACACTAAGAACTAGTTAAAACTACTGCAGTAAAATTACTGTTGTGTTTGCTTCTGATCTCCTCAGTGCCTCGTTCAGACTGCCGGTGGGAAATGGTCACTGGAGGGGTAGGCAAGTGCTGCCCTGGCTCACTGGGTTTTACCTCAGTTGCATGTAGGTGAATATTGTAGGGAGGAATTAAACTTACATGTAGATGTTGTCTGAGCTCACATGAAGGAAAAACATAGAAAAAAATTAGAGAAACTATGAAGAGTTGTTGTAATGGCAGTGAAGAAATATGGCTTAAATTGAAGTACGTATTGCTGGGGTGAAAGACTGTGGTCACAGTAATAATTCATACAGTCATGACCATTTTGTGCTACAGTCGTGCTTTCCAAAATGATGTGCTGCTGAAGATAAATGCTGGATTTTCAGGTTGAAAATAAGATTTTGAGGCTTTTTGTGGCTGATGTAATCATCCACTGCATCTTGAACATCTTTGCCACTGTCTTTCTGAAGCACCACCTTTTTGTTGCTCTATTTCAAAAGAAAATAGTTGCTCACTTTTTTCACTAGAGGTTCTCAAAATATTTGGTTTTGGCAGCATTATAGTCTCCTTCATTTATGAAGGTGAGAGAATCCAACTTACTAGGGCACTGCAAATAAATACAGCTGTAGTAATGCTACATTCTCTTGATGCAGATTGTATTTGTGCAGAAATGGATCATATCTAGAATTAAAGGCCAGATATAAAGTAATGGACTGTTGCTGAGTTTTCACATTTCCACCCCCCTCCATCCCCCTCCTGCCCTAAGCTGTTTAACCTATACATTTGCTCCTTTCTTATACCAATTAACTATAGTCTAATTTATAACGTAGTAGGTTTTCAAGTTTTATAGTTTTTTGGGTTTTTTTTCCCCCTATCAAATTCTTAGTGCTTTTCACTTCAAATGCTGAAGTAGCCAGTGCTGTCAGGCCCCTCTATCCTATGATTGCTAGTGGTCTGTGAATATGCCTGTGATAAGGATGATGTGCATGAGCGCGAACTTAGATCCAAGGCTATGCCTAGCTAGACTGACCTGCCTGAGGCATGTCTGTTCCTATAACAAGGAATGGGTCAACGGATGTGAAACTACCACTGCATCAGAAAACTTCTAGCTCACGTGGCAGATGGCAAGATGCTCATTTACAGCTCGGGTGGCATTTGTCACCAGTCTACAACATGGTTTGAACTTGCATTTTTAACTTGAGAAGGATGTGGCTTAACTATTCTAACACACTGTTCCAAGAGAAGGAAAGAGAGTAAAGATTTATACTCTTGGAAGCAGCTCCTCTTGGGTCAGTGTATTGGTCAGTTTGGATAACTGATTTCAAACTGACTCTGCTAAAGTTGTTAAAAAGTAGCATGAGAAATGTCAGTCTGTCCCCCTCTGTGTGCCATCTGCTCAATGGGGTATCTCAAGTTTAAACAGAGATGGATGGAGAGCAGTGCTTCCTTGATCCTCCAAAACATGTTCTCATTCTTTTCTCTGGTAAAAGTAGGAAAAGTCTAATTCATCTTTCTGTCTAGATAGAATAGACACAACTGGTCCACTGTGACCTTGATATCAGACATTTTTCTTTTAATAATATATGTGTGTAGTACTGAGATGTTCCCATGGAGATTAGTTCTGTGCTGCAGGCCATTAGCTTGTTTCCTTGGTATCAGTTCAGGGCACACTTATCCCTCAGCTTGTCCAAGTTAAAAAATAACATACAGATTGATGGCTGGGCATGGGGTTTTCTTTGTTACCGTGCTTTGGAAGGAGGCAAAGTCATAAAATTTTAGGAAAGACTTTTCAGTAGCAAACATTCAGCCTTGTGTGTGACCTGAGCATAACTTGGAGCTAGCTGAAAATTTACATATTTTTCTTTTAAAAGGAAAGCTGAGGTGGTTTTTTTCTTTTTTCTTTTTTTTTTTCCTTTTTTTTTTTTTTTTTTTTTTTTTTTTTTTTTTTTTTTTTTTTTTTTTTTTTTTTTTTTTTTTTTTTTTTTTTTTTTTTTTTTTTTTTTTTTTTTTTTTTTTTTTTTTTTTTTTTTTTTTTTTTTTTTTTTTTAAATCTGATACTTATGGCTATAAGCTCTGAGGGGCTAAGTTCCTGGCTAAATCTCTGGGAAGCGATGTTTTTGTTATGTTTCTAGTACTTCATCATGTTTAGTTGAAAGTGACTAGTGGTAAATGTAGAGAAATATAAATCTTAAGGAGACAACAGAGGTAGGAAAAAGATATTCTATTGATAAAGAGCTGAAATACTACTTAGATTTTAAATTTTCCAATGCAGGACAAGGAGGAGGGAAGACTTTGTCTCTTTTGACTTTAATTTGCAGGCAAGTAAATAATATTTCCTGCAACATATACTGAGTTTGAGGTATTGCCTGTAGGTGGATACTTTGACTGTTGTAATTTAGTGAAAAGGAGGAAAGTTTTCCCTGGGTAAGGAAACTAGTTGTAGTTCAAACTAGTACAAGAAAGTAGACAAAAAAAAGACAAATGAGCATGTTGGGTTTTTAGTTAGTTTACTTTGGGTGGTTTTTCAATGAGTGATTAAATTTGCATGTTTATGATGGTTGCAGCTCTGCACTGCAGCCAGACCCATTCCCATTGGAAAAAAGCTGGTACGGCTTGAGAAACTGAATTGCTTACTGTCCTTGCTAATACCAGTATTACATTGTTTTAGTCACAAAGGTTATTAATTGCAGAAATTAATGTCATCGCATGTTGTCTGAAAAGAGATTTTGAGCAGGAAGTAATTGTACTTGTGCAGTTCTATGCTGTGACTAAATTGTGTGGTTTGATAAAATTTATGGCAAGGTGAAAATGAATGAGAAGTTTTTCTAGCTTTTAATACAACAGGCTTATGCTTGTAGTTGGAAGCAGAATTTGACAAATATTTTTTGGTTGCTGGTGAGTGCAGTTAATCTATGTTGTTGGTACATTTACAGGCCTGGAGTTCCTGTAACCATGCAGGCATTTTCTGAGGAAGACAGGAAGCTATGGATGGAAGCCTTGGATGGAAAAGAAGCTGTAACTGTCATTTTTAAAATATTCTTTAATAGTATAATGGAGAATTCTCTCACCCTCTGCTTTCTGATGCCATTTATACTTTAGTAAACTGGGATTATGTAGTTTGCAAAATGATAGATTCAATGAATAAAGGATAAAAGTGAAATAAAACTCAGGAGAGATGAGTAACTTGGTAAAGCTCAGTGTAGATAACTGCTAATGCTGATATGAGATATTTTTCATTGTAATGACAGCATCGATTTTTATAAAAGGTTTCCCATCACAGTGATATTATTGGTGTTCTAGAAAATGTCTAGTATAAGCATGTTCACTTAGTCTTATGCTGACATATTTCATTACAGTGGCAAAATCTGTGTGAGTTACATGGTATTATTTTATTTTTAAACTAGATAAAAATGATTCCTCTCTCTCAATGGGGCTGAGGTTGTACCTGAATTTGCCCAATTTCTGGCTCACATAAGGAAATGGATCTGAACTGTAGAATGGAGACACACTGTAGATTATTCTTGCAATCATAAATATGTTGGTCTTGTGGGCCAGAAATAATGGGGTTTTCTAGACAATGACAGTCACATGCCTGTCCCCAGTAGTTGGCTAATGGGAATTTTAGCAGAAAGATTTATTGACATCATTGTTACACAAATCTGGTTTCATTTGCAGAGGTGTTTATTACCATGACATGTTTTCTGAGCTGGACTCCCCAGTAAGTTTACAACTTCTGTGAATACCAAACTGGGATGTAAGTCCCAGGATTCATGAAGGCAGTTCACAACAATGAATGAGTTGCAACTGTGGGAAATTTAAAAAACAAATGTCAAAAAACATAGGAACATGGAGCATGTAAATCACAATTAATTCCACTGGCTATAGCTAGCATTGTTCTGTTCCCCAAGGAACTGTGTTTGTTGAGAATTTTTTGTAGCTTTCACTCCCTAAAAAGTGCAGTTATCAACTATCTGAGGTGGCATGGACCTCTGATCCTGCTGTTGGAGCTGTTGCAGTTGAAGGCAATATGTTTTAGCTGTAAACAGCTGTTTTTATGCCTACTGAGGATTAAGATCAGGGGTGCCTTTTAATTGATTTCATAGCAGTTTTAAATTAACTTATGTCTTTTTACTTCTTTTGTCTTAGCTCTTCATCAATTTGAATAAACCAAACGCAAACCGAGAGGGAAGTAAGTATTTAAATTAGTATTAAAGCTGATTTCTGTTAACATTTTTCAGTTGAGAAAGGCAAAGGTATGTTTTGGTTTTTTCCCAGTGGATTTAACTTAATTAAATATTTTACTTTTAAATCTGGAGTTCTGAATATATTTGGGGATTTTGTAATTAATGGGTTTTCACAGTAACTCAGTTTAGTGTGTGTGTAAGAATTGTAGGACTGGACATAAGCTAGAGAAACGGTCTGATTGTTTTTGCCAATTTACTTCATGCTTGAAATTGACTCAAAATTAGCTGAATTTGTATGTAAATGCAGCACAATTTCTTAATCCAAACTGTGTGCACACATCTGTTAGAACGTGTAAGTATGCTTTTAAAAGCAATTGCAGCTGAACATAAAGGTCAGCAAAAAAGCTGAATGCATGCATTTAAAATATAAACCAAAATGGAAGTAGAAGAAAAGGCTTGCTTTAGACAACATTAGCTTTCTTCTGTTAGCTAAGTGAATGAAAACAGGTATCCTTCTTTTATTAGCAGGCAATTTATGCTTTTTTTTTTATTTTATTTTTTTTTTAAATAACTAAATTGCTGGTTAAAGCTGGATCATGGTGTTATTAATAGAATTTCTTCCACAGATTTTTCTTTTCATCGTGCAAGACCAGGTCCCCAGGAGCAAGAAGGCCAGATGTTTGGGGGAAGGGCAGTTTTGCAACATCAGCATTTAAATGAAGTTTTGATGTAAAGAAGTGTAAGATAGGAACAACAAAGGAATGCTGGAGCTCAGCTGCTGTCCTGTTAATGCATCTGCTTCCATGTAGTCAGATCATTAACTGCTGTGAAATTATATACATGTGTCCTGTATCTTTAGTGTGGGAATTTCTTTGGCTTAGGGTAGGACTCAGTAAAAGCCCTTCTGTTGATGATTATGTTTTTTCATCATAAGTACTTCCTTGTCCCATTTGGTGAACTCTCTCAGATGTTGTCGATGTTGCAGTAAGTACTGTTGAATTCCATTTTGCATCTGCCAACATATGTAACTAATCAGAGATCCCATTCTTCAAAGGATGCTGCTGTGAACAGATTCAGTGAAGCCACTACCATAAGAATGAGCCTTTAGCTGGGCTAGGCAGGACTGTGAAGGAGGAAAGCATAATTTGTCTAGAAAAAGTGATAGAGTATTTCCGCTCCAGAATATTTACAGTTCTGCTTCAGAAGTACTAGCTATATGATTAAGTCCAGCCTTATTTTCATTGAAAAGACATAATTGCAATGGTGCTTTAAAACTGTTCGAACCTTTTTTTTTTTTTTTTTTTTTGTCTTGTAGGTGCACAATTGGATAAAATTGGGTTCACCGTCATCAAAAAGTGCATCAGTGCTGTTGAAACACGAGGTAATGATCAACGCAACCTGTTAGTGAAGAGGGTGAAGCTCTTTGAAGGGTCTGCTCTTTGAAGAAGGCCTGTGTGATAAAGTGTCCTGTAGATCTCTGGAAAAGACTTTTACATAGTAGACATTTCACTGATTACATTGACCGGGGCAGGAGTCCAGTCCCAGCCCTTAGTGTATGGCTTTCCTTCAAGAGATGTATTTTCAAGAAGTGCTCACAAGTGAGAAATAGCACGTCTCTTGACAAAGGCAGCCAGTGTTTATGTGCAACAGCTAAAAGAAACCTGTGTCTTGTAGGCAGTTCCTGTACCTTTGCTGACCTGTTGGAACAGACTAAGTTATTTTAGAATTCCATTTCTGTTTAGTCACTTTAAGATAGAAGAACAGGAGCTGAGCAGGCAAGTGACTTACAAAAGGTATCACAGTCCTTTTGGTGGAGTTAGTATCACACCAGAGACAAACATGCTGTCAGGATTACTATTGCGTATTCTCATTGTTGTACCTCCAGAGTTGGAGGTGGAATAAAGAGGTTAGTATGCAGACAGTATTAAAGGGCTAGTTTAGATGGCTTGTGGAGAGGCTTTGGAGAACCTGTTGAGGTTTTTTAAAAACAAGAGGTGAAGAGATGAAATTAGGTAACTGGTTGCTGTATATTTCTTAGTTTGTTAAAAGAGATGTTGAAATTTCTCTGTGTGCATTTTGTTTTTCTCTTACGTTGTTGACCTTGCTTCCCGCTCCCAAAGGGGAGACTGAGGGTTTTTCAGGAATTGTATCTTTTTTTCCTAGAGATTTGGCATTGCACGGGGCAGAATACTTATATCTTTCTTTGTATCACAGTCCAGCTTAAATAAGATAGCTGAACAGAAGAATGGGCTGTTCATACTTGCTGTCAGTGCAGGGCATTACTGAGAAGCTGTTTTCTATGCATACACTTACTATACAATATTATTAGTAAGACCAAGCAGCCTTTGTGATACTGAGAATTTTGCATTTAAACAGCAAGGAATATCTGAAATCCTTTTTCTCGTGGACTTTTTTGTAGCAGCCCTGTCTGATGCATTAAAGATGTTATTCCAGATTAGACCATATTCTGTCTGGTGTTATTTTTGTTCATTCTGTTCTTTTGAATATTTTTCAGATAAGGTTTGCCTGTCTCATCACTTTAGATTTCAGTTACTGGCATTTACAATCTGAATATTTCAGCTGGGAAACATTGCAGATAAAGCTGGTGTCCTACAGATAAGTTGCCTTCCCTGCAAAACCCTGCTTCAATATAGACTAGATCTGCTCTTTGCAGTGAGTGAGGCAGATTTCATGTAAAGAGTTGCATGTGGTCATGTAAATGAGAGACTGGTTTTGATCTATGGTATGCTATATTTTGGTTTATTATTTATAAGTGTGTTCAGATAGTTTTCTTCAAGTAGTCTTTTTTTTTTTTTTCTTCTTCTTCTTTTTCCTTCTTTCTCTGATACCCTCCAAGGAAAGCAAAACAAGAACATAACTGTGGAAATAGTGTGAACATTTTCTTCATGAAGTAGCTATTTAAAAAATGGTTTGTTTTTTTTCTTCTTGTGGCTGTGTGTAGATAGGCTAAACTGAATGGAAGTTTAAGTCCACTCTGCCCTTTATGCCTTGATTTAAGGGCATGTAAGAAGGTGCAAAATATGTGTGTAACCTTCTTGTTGTTCAAGACAGAGGAGGCCTGCAGTCAGTAGAGTGTGGTAATTTCTTTCAATGGAAAAGACATCTTATCTATTAAGTTTGTTTTGGAGAGTACTCAAGAAATAAACATAAATCCATGTTTGATTAATATTTCTTTTCCCAGGGTTTCAAGAATGGATTTAGGTGAGGCACTATCTTCCAGGAAGTCAGTATCCACTTAGCTCTGTTTCAGTGAGCTTGATTTGTCCATTACATTCCAAGCAGTTGTTGATGATTTTTTGTTTAGTGATTCTGAACTTAACATCAGCTGCATTTAAGAAACAAAACAAAACAAACAAATGGAGGGGCAGGAGAGCATTCAGCTGTTTGCCTCAGAAGAGTTTGACCAAATAATTGTCTGATAAAGAAAATCTATCTTTGGGGTTGCAGGATTTTTATACCTGTAGTTGTTCTTAAAAACAATTTTTACTTGGGTATTTTATTTTAATGATAATATATCAAAAGCAAGTTATGTTCAGCAGAAGAAAGCAGGACAGATGCTTCTTCAGAGACAGTGCTTGTGTGCCATGTTTTTATCTCTTTTAATCATAATGGGTGTGAGGTTGGTGTGGGTGGAAAGAGAGGACAGTCTAGTGTGGGTGGAAACTGAGAATAGTCTTGTCATGTCATAGCAGAAGTAGTCTGGTATTCAGAGAGAGAAGAGCCTAACAGAGATACTGAGCATAAACTTGTCAATGGCTGGAGAATTTTTTCTCAGTTATGTTCCCTTCAATAAAGCCAAGAAGGAAATGATTTGCTCTGAATGAATTAGAAGCGTTGAAAGCGGTGCCTTGGTTAAAATGCATGTGAGCTCCTGGTTCAGCATTGCCTGATAAGACATTGGCTGTGCTTTACCTGGTAGCAGATGCTGAGGCACCAGGATATGCATCCTGTCTCTCCTGTATGGAACACGATGCTGGTTGGACGCACACCTATGTTTTGTCTTGATTTTGGGATTCTGTTTGGAGAATTTAGTTTAGAATTATCTACTGAGAATAATACAACGGGGTAAATGTCTCAAGAAACATCAAAGAGCTTTTTGCATCGGTGTTAAAGACTCTGTGCGTGTTTTTGTGTGCAGGTCGTTTGTTGTACCTTTTGTGGGAATGCGATAGGTAAAGTGTTTGCCAGAGCAAAACCTGCTAATCTGAGCTGCAGAGAAAGATGGCAGCATTGAGCTGAGTCTCCAGGCTGTCTGCTCCTGAGACAGAGAATAGACGGTGAGGAGGAAGTAGAAAACCTTTTCACATAACAAAAAAAAATAAAATCTGGCATTACCTTGAATTTAGAGTGCCACTTGTACGGCTGTTTCCTTGCTATGGAGTTTGATATAAGAAGTTGTATTTGCAGCTATGTTACAAGTCTGTCAGCGTCATGTACAATGCCAGTCACAAAGTAAACTTGCCTACATACCTTGCTTACAATAGTATGAACTGCTGTTTTGCTTACAATACCTTGTATTTCTAAGCATGTTTCCCTAACTGTGTACCTGTGCCAAATTCTGGTATCAGACAGCCAAGCATCTTGAGATAATGTAAATATGAAGGAAACTGTGCTGCGGGGCTTTGCTGCTCCGAGTTGCCAGTAGTGGTTGAGCCGGCAGACACAGCGTCTGAACCCTTCAGCGTTTCAGTCAGTGGTGAGCTATTCCTTGCAATGAGTCATCTTATCAATTGTGTTCTGTAAATGCCAAGCATTATCAGTGTTGGATGTGCTGAAGATCTGAAATGTGCAGATTAAATCAGAAATAGTACCATTTCAAACCAGCTTTGTGTATTTTAAATAAAATATCATTCGAAAGTACGTTTAAAGGTATCATCTAAAGCTGCGTTGAAACATTAATGCCTCTTTGCACTCCTTGATGTCTGCTAGCAATTAGCTGTGCTTTTTTCAGGTTGATGAATTTGAAACTGATCAATTATCTGATAATTGCTATCACAGACTCATGATTATTGCTGGAGGATTGTCTTGGTTTCAATACTGCCATTATTGCAGAAACTTTTGCATATCATGTGTGTTTTAATGCCAAGCACTAGTTTTTGTGGTTTGACCTAATTATTTTTAAGCCTATAAATATATGTTTGGGGTCAGCACAGTTGGTTCCCCCCCCATTTTATTGTTAGAAGCACAGGAAGTCATGAATCAACTTCCTAGATAAGCAAAAGCTGAGTGTGACAGTATTTATTCAGCTTTTTAGCATCTTGCCGATGATGCAGAAGGCTTGTTCTGTAGTGTCATTGTATAAAAAAAGTGCGAAGCATTTTTGGCAAAGCATTAAAGAACTTGGGGCTACTATGGTACCAGAATTTTCCTGGACACCTCTGAGAAGTTTGAAATAAAAAGTAATTGCTGCTCTCAGGACAGATTTCTAGTGGACCCTTGTTTGGAGTATATTAAGGACTATGTTGTTGGGTTTTTGTTGGGGTTTTTTTTGGTATCTCCAAGTGGTGTATAGCATGCTATCACAGTTGTTCTAGGGATCAATGGAAAACTTATTTGGTTGGGTTGATAACTTCGTATTTTGAGAGGAATATTGCGGCCTCAGAGCTGAGGGTTTTTTCAGTTTTTTTTCTTGTGCACAGCTAAACTACGAGCATATTCTAGAGTTGTGTTTTTTGATGACCGCAGGTAAAATAAAGCCAGCTTTCAACGTGACCTCTGCCTTAAGACTCAGCACCATTGCAGTGGTGCCTGCATCCTGGGCAGAGAAAAGGCCTGGTTTTGCCCAGGTGGAGCAACCACGCTGCATCCTTGGCCTGTCAGCTCCCTGCTGAGACAGAGGAAGGAGCGGTGCTAACAGGGAGGACTAGTTCAGCAGGCTCAAAGTTCTGGAATGGCTGAGGAGGCTGCAGACTGTGTGAGGGAGAGAAGGGGGTGAGAGAAGGAAAAGATGTATCAAGGCTAGGCAGGAGGAGTAGGTAAAAAATGCCAAGTTCTCTCTACCATATTGAGAATTATTGCTGTGTATTATGGCTGTGTCTGACAGTAATTCATTAAAAGGCTAATGATTTTTACATACTTCATCTAATATTTATTTGGGAAGAAACTTTTTCTCATACGACTGGTTTTAATTTTCCTTCTCTGGGTTGGAACAGCTTGGTATTGAAGCTGGGAATTCTCCACAAGTCTTCCTTTGTTGAAGGATATTTTGAATAAGAATACTACATAATCTGTTATTTGAAAAGATTTCCTTGGAGTGGAAACACAGGTATTTTGTGTCATTTCTATTCTTCCAGGCCAATGTGATTATGAAGGTGGAGTATGGTTGTGTTTGTAGATTGGCTGCTTATTATGTGGCCTCTCAAACATCTGTGTCAGCTTCAGGACTGCAATATTTTACCTCCCACTATATAGGCTCTGAAAAAAGGCAGCAGACAAAAGACATACCTTATTTTACCCTTTTTCTTCCCTGCCCCTTTTCTCCCTCTCATGTTTCTTCAATTTATATTCATAAGTTTACTTCCCTGGGGATAAAACTGGGTATCATAAAGGAAAGCAAAAGCAGGGGAAGAGAAGGGGTAGAGAAGTGAGTGTGTGCAAGGGGACAGAAGGGCACAAGACAGAGGAATGACAGGAACGTGGTCCAGTGTCCATGAAGAATGGGAGTAGAGGACTGAAAATGCTATGTTGGTTGTGGCTACTCTATTCTTCCGAAGCAAAACCAGAAGTAGTGCTTTCAGTAACCTGTGGTTGTGCCTCTGGATGTAACTACTATGTGGACCACAGTGGGTTGAAATGAGGCCTTGTATCGTAAATGGAAAGCATTTACAACCTTGAAAAAGCATTGGTTTTGAGGACTGGGAATAACCTCAAAGTTTTTCTTCATCCAAACTCTTTTTGTTGCCACATATTAGGAAAAAGAAGAAGTAAAATTAAATTTATTAAAGGAATCTTAATTTAGCATTTGTTGGTTCAATTCTTGCGTTGTCAGAATGTGGATGCTGATGTATCCAAAATGTAATTTAAAAAAAATTGAAAATAGAGAGTGGTTTATTTATATCTTTTTTTTGAGCAAAGGTTCTTCCCTGTTTGCTTGTACTCCTAGTTCCTGAAGTGGCATGGAGGTACACGAAACCTTTATCAAAACATAACATGAATTTATCTTAAAAACACAGAACAACTAAAGGATTTTGGAATATTTTATTTATAATGTTGTTCTCAGGGCTGCTAATACTGCTTAGTCTGTCTGTCTTTGAGGAGAATTCATTGCCTGGGGAAAAATTTTAATGCTAAATTTGACTGTCGTTGATCTCATGCTTTTTTTTTTTTCTTCTCCCTTTGCATAATAGGTATAAATGACCAAGGATTGTACAGAGTTGTGGGGGTGAGTTCAAAGGTCCAGAGACTTCTGAGTTTGTTGATGGGTATGCCTCTATTTTACAAATATTTTTTTCTATATTTTATTTCGTGCTGCTTTACTGTCAATGTTTAGTTTTTAAATCATCTACCAGTACTTGTTCATTATATGTGCCAAATCTAGTTTGCTTTAGTCCATGCAAATAATCACTGTATCATTGTAAGTTCCCCTAGTTTAGAAAGACCTAGATTAGGTGGTAGGAATACACTCGGAGAACTTGCAGGAGCAAATCATGGGCTTTTTGCAAGGTTGATGGAAGTGGGATGAAAGCTGCCTAAGTTGAAGGCTCTGAACAGAAAATTCAAAATACCACATTCAAGAAAGTTTGAAGCTTGTTGCTTCATTGTTTGAAGCTTCCTTCTCCCTTGTCTAGGATGTGCAGGTGTTCACGCCCGTGCATGTCTTTAGTTAATCACTGTGCAAAATCAGACATTTAGTTTAAGCCTACTGGCAAAGAGCTCTTTGGTTTAAGAGGAGGAATATGATATATGTATTAATAATAACTATGTGTCAAGGCAGGAGACAGATGGAGAAAGGATTTGTTTTTATAAACTCAGTAATATAGCTCTTATGTGTGGTTAATGTCTTAGGCTCTTTTATGTACCTAGTTAGCTAAAATAATTCTCAGCAACTTTTTTCCTCCCTTTTCTGTCTGGAAATTTTGATGCATCTTTAGTCCCAATGACTGTAGTTCTCTTGCCACTCTGCTGTCCCTAGGGGGAAAAAAAAAAGTATTGGCACCTGGATGAAATCCCTCGTCTGCCTGATATCTCTCACCAAAGTAGTAGCCATGACTGCAAAATGTGCCGTGTTTCCCCATTCCTTGTCCTGAGCACTGACAGTACATGCAGTCAGACAAGACCACTGGGATTAGTTCATTTTTATAGAGCTTCCAAACCTGTCACTTGACAGCAAAGGTCTGATTCTCAGGGATTCATTGGTATGCAAAGAAGCTTGTTTGCAGTTTGCACCAGGCTCTTCTCCAGAACCATGCATGCTCCATCTGTGCTGATAACACAGTGTTCTTTGGCACTGCAAACTGGAGGAAGCCAGAAAGTGAATTCATTTCATTACCCCAGACATTATGTGAATGACAAAGCGCTTTTATATTATATGCTGCTGTCAGTTCAGTGCCACCTGTAAGACTTTTTCTTTTCCTGCCTTTATTTTTTCAAACAGGCTGTCTCTTCAGAAATGATAAGACATCTTGAGGCTTGAGGACCTGCATGTCATATCAATCTGTCATAATGACCTTGCTAAATATTAATTTATGATGTCTTACTTTAATCAATATTAACAGCACCCTGAAGTACTCCATTAATGCATGTAAACCTGCCTATATCTTTAAAGTATTGTAGAAAAAAAGTCTCTTTTTGGAAATACGAACTGGGATTAATAAAAATGACTGATCTATATCAAATTCTCATAGCTCATAGAATATGCTGTGTTTGAAGGGGCCCGTCGGGTTCATCAAGTCCGGCTCCTGGCCCTGTGCTGGAGTTAGCCTCAGTAAACAGTAACCACCTTCAGCCACTGACCATGGGAAGAATGATGTGATGTCACTCAGGGAGTCTTGATTAAATGCATTTGCTAGAATAAGATGCTTCTCAGTTTTGTACTTACTGGCTTAGCTTGGGCTTGCAGGTCTGGCAGAAGGATTTTCCTTGTTGCCATTATTGATATCCAAATTAAATAGACTCAGGTAGCCAGTGGTTCAGTAGCAGCTGGAAGAGTTTACCGGGTATTCCAGCATCTGCTTTTAGTTATTTTTTTTTTTTTAAATCAAAACCATTTTTTTTTTTGGTCGTTCCCAAGATTCGTGTATTTACTTCACATAGGAGGAGTACAGTGGTATCAAGACAAGGCAAAATACTGAACAGGAAAAAGTTAGGGTGCAAGCAGGTGCTCTTTTCTGATGATTTGTTGAAAGTGATCCTATCTGTGCTCTTTATCTGGCTGTCCTCAGAGAAGAATAAAGAGGGTTTCTTTTTGATATACAGTGGTACAGAGAATTTAAAATGACTGATTAATCTTTAATCCTTTGTCTCTGGGCATACTCTTAGATACCTTTTTATATGAAAGATTTTTTCAGAATCATAAAAACCTCATATTAACTTTCTGTATTTTAAAATGTTTGATAAGATTTCAAAGTATTTTAAGCTACCTGTCATTGACCATGAGGTTCACAGTTGGAAAGGCCCAGTGTGCAAAAAAGTCTTCCTAAAGGTAACCAGGGACATAATAGCATTTAGTTTTGTCTCTTTTTCTGAATACTTTCTATAGAATTTTGGAAAGTACATGAAGAGTCAAGAGAGTATGAGAAGACCAATGTATGCTTTTCTAATACTATGACTGCATAGGTTTTCATCTATAATGCAAAAATTTAATGAAACTTAGTCTTCTGTAAAAAAAGGCTCAACAATTACATATGGAATTCTTTCTTTTTGCAATTAACTTAGTTTTTGAATTTGTTTGTAATTGGCATTGGGCAATGGTGATCTATTTTGTGGCAATGATCTTGTTCAAATTTAAGAGAGGCATTTGCTAAGGAAAACAGTCATTACCTTTTAAGGAAAAATGTTAAAATAACAAAATATCTCATTATAAACAAGGATACGGAGTTAGAACTTCCAGTGTTTTGGGAAACTGTTATAAGCAATTCAGAGTGCGTTGTCAACCATCAGGAGTCTCAGTTTGGAAATGCGTCAGGGACGGATTCCTGCTTCATCTGTGATCTACATATTAGATCCATGATCAGATTACAGATCTGATGTGGTTCATTTCATAAACTGCCTACAGAGATTTCATGCAAACCACTCCATAGGTCAGCTTTCACACAGATGGTGGAGAAGTGATTGCTGAGGACTAGCAGTTTCTACTGATGAGTTCAGGTTTGATTTCTGATACACTCTGGCATGAAAAATGCCAGACTTTTCATGTTGTAGGAGAAGACTTTCAGGTGCTTCTACCTTTTCGGAACTATCAGATTCCAAAACTATTCCATAAATTCCTTCTTGTTATATACAGTAGATGATAGTGCATACAGACCTACAGTGGGCATATTGCATATGAAAGCAGAGAGAGTCTCCTCCTAACCTAGTTTAGTGAACTGGACTGTTTTCATAAAATCTGACTCCCTTATTGTCAGAAAGATTTGCATAAAATTTAGAGCTGATCTGTCAGAAGCTGTTTCATAAATGTGCACAGTTATTTTTATATGTGTAAAGTTGCCATTCAGTGCGCAGCGGCTGCTATGTGAACAAGTAACATGAAAACTAGTAGAGTCACTTTTTTAAAATTCTGGCTGAAGATCCAGTTCTTACAATGGTCTGGGATGTTTCAAGTAGGGGGGAAAAGTGGAGCAGGCACAGTGAAATTCATTGGGTGGTGGGGCACAGAGCAACTGTCAAACCAGAAGTGAAAAACAGTCTTTAAGCCTTGATGGCTTCTACAGTCAAATTGGGGATCCTGGGGGTTGGTACCAGGGCCTGGTTTGTTTTTTGGTTTTTTTTTTTTTTTTTTGGTTGGTTTTGTTCTCCAAGAGATAATGAAATGTTTCAACAATGCCTTCTATTTTTTATTTTAAGAGGCTTGCTTTGGAATTCAGAAGCTTGTTGTTTTCCTCTCGAAATTCATCAACAAATTTCAGTGAACAGAGTGCATACTTTGAATGTAAAGGAGGTTGATCATTATGAAGCAGCTATTTAAAAAATGGATATTGCATGGTGGTTTAGTGACAAAATCCCCATAGATTTTACCAGTTTCTGATGTGATGGCAGTTTTTATTTAATTAATTCAGTAGACAGGTTTTCTTCTCAAAAAAGAGAATTTGAACGTGGAAACAGCTAGCATGCTAAAAAAGAGGGAAAAAGAAGCTTATTCCTGAGACAATCTTGAGTAGTTTGGGTGGTGGTTGTCTAGTAACAGTTTGCTAGAAAATGTTATCTGACTTGTATTTTAAAATGAGATTTAAATAATTGATATAATGAGGGAGAATATTCAGTTACAGAAATAATTGCTTGGCACAGCTTTTAGAACAAAATTATTTAGTCCCAGTAAAAGGACTGCACCTTTAATCAGGGATCCTAATTTGATTTTTTAGATGGGTCTGTCGTTTGTCTGACAAGCCAAGTAATAAATGAATTCTGAATTGTATGAACTGGTCAACACGTAATCTGTGTCAGCTACTGCTGCAGTTCACTGTAATGACTGACAGAAATATGTAGCAGTAATAATAACAGAAGCTCGAGCACTTTAAGTTAGCAAATACACTGGGCTAGTCTGACCATATATGTGTGATCCCTTATGTCAGCTAACTCTTGATTATTCTTGTTTTGAGGTCAAAAAGGGTTTTTTTTTTGATTGCACAACGTTCCAGTGTGCTGTATTCTCCATCTTCTGTCAAAAACTCTTTAACCTGATGGGTCAATCAGACAAACTATTCACTTTGACCACTCGTGTTACAAGACTATACCAACTAACCTGGTAAAAGGTGGGGTTTCTGTGAACCTGACAAACGGTCAAACCAACAAGTATTTTTTGTCCTGTGAGTGAAACATTCAGGCCATCTTGTAGACAAAACTTACGGACAGCAAAGTGTCTTTCTTTTTGCTTTTGAAGCACATCTTAAAGGTTTTCACACAATATAGAGGGTCATGCTGCACTTTGGCAGTAAACTGTTTTCATCAACAGTTTACAACCAAAACTATGTAAAAAATTTGAAAATATTTATCAGTGTACTTGCACTTTAAATAATGAAAGAAAGGAGTGAAAGATAAGTTGTGCTTAGAGGGTTTATTTTTTTTCCTAAACCATTTTTGTACATCTTTCTGTGTTTGTGTACATCGATCTGTTTAATTAAAGGTGTGAAAATTTCAATTGCTGTAGAGATCTTCTTACATGAAAGTGATTTTTAATCCTTCAATAAAGAAAAAAATTAGCAGTAAATAGTTCTAAGAACAAAATGTGGAAATAGAATTTATAAAGGGGTTTGGATATGAAGTCTTCCTGGTATTAATTAATAATAAAAAGCAAATACATGATCAAATTCAATGTGGTGGTGTTCATGTAGGGCATACTGATTTAGAATTCCATTTATTCACATCCCTCTTTTCTTTCTGATTGTTTTCTAGATGCAAAAACCTGCAATGAAGTTGACCTGGAAAACTCTGTAGATTGGGAAGTAAAGACAATTACTAGTGCTATGAAGCAATATCTACGGTAAGGCTCTCTCTCATTTATTAATTTTTTAGAACATGAATTCTTATTCTAATTTTCTTATGCATTTTGTTATGCTATGTTACTTATATTTTTTATATTTTAGAAAAAAAGTTCGTTTTATGCAAATACCATTTTTTTGTTTTTCTTGAGGGAAGCAAAATAATGTAGAAACACTAGTACTCACGTTCACATGAGACAAGCCCCAAAACATTTTTGTCTTAGGCACATAAGCATTTCACTGCTGGTTCAGAAACCTGAATTGTTAGTCAGCTTGCTAAGAGTTGCTACTGAAAGTTAGCTGAGATTGTTAACAGTTTTTGCCTTTTTGTATTTCAGTGTGGTAGAATGAAAAGGTTGTAAAATTTTTAATATTTTCCTCTCCCTTCTAACCCTTGCTCTAATGTTCTGTAATAGTGATAATATTTTGAGTGTTGGATATTTTAAATAAAAATTTTAACTGTGTTCTTTATTCAAATGGTTTTGCCAATTCCTGATCAGGTTATTTTCCTGAATTGCCTGGGAACATATGTAGAACTTTTGTGTGTCTCTAGTAGTGTAACACAAATACAGTATTTTGAATCTGCTATTTTTATTTAAAGAAAATATTACTACAACTAATATCAAAGAATGCTGCAGAACTGTTAAAAAGATACAAGTCTTATGGAATGTAGAAAATAATTAAAAAAAAAAAAAAGAAAAAAGTACACATGATGAAGTTATTTCTTCCCTACAGTATTTCCCATCTGAATATTTACTCCAATATTTCATAAGCATCAGTAAAGTACATTTAATAAATGTTTTTAAGTCTGGTAGTGATGGTGGTTGTTGTTGTGTTAAAGGTTTTAACTCTGATTTCCATTATTCAGAACATTTTTCACTAAGGACTGAGGCTTTAATTTCAATTGTTCCATTTGAAATACTTTGGAATTTTGATTTGTGGATGGCTGCTGTTAAGTCAGCCTAACTGCTGTAGGACCTTAGTGTCTTTCCAGTAAGGCATTGAGTTGTGAATCTTAGTATTTTAGAAACACTAATGAAGAATTAATTACACAGTATATGTGTACAATCTTCAGTTGAGAAACAGTCTTGGTGTTCTGACTGGAAAAGATACCTTATGATAGACTGGAGGCATCACTTCATCTCATGGAAGGTGAATGGATGTGTTTAGTCTTATTTTCCTGATAATACCAAGTTGTCCATTTGTGCTTGAAATCACCGAATTCAATGGCCCCTGTAAAAATGGTTACTTTTATGGTTTATACTATGGAATGTTAAAAAGGTTTCCTGCTTTGAGTAAATAGAGATGGAAGAGAATATAGTTAAATTTATTATGTCATCCTTGTTTTACAGAAGCCTTCCAGAGCCACTGATGACATACGAGTTGCATGGAGAATTCATCGTTCCTGCCAGTAAATAAATGACTGTAGTTCAAATAGAAATCTTTTGCTGTCGTACTGTTGTGACCTTAGGAGCTCTCTGCAAGTGCAATTTCAGAAAAGTACTTCAACACAGTAAAAATACAGGAACAAGAAATAGTAAATTATTCAAAAATATGTAGGTTTTAACCAGTTTTCAGTTCTAGTATGTGACGTGTGACTGCGTAGAGCAGTTTTAGGTTTTATGGGAGAACTTTTGGATAGACATTGTAAACATTCATTCTTATTGTCTTAATTGTATAATGATAAGCATCTACTTAATCAGTGATTTTTTTTCTTTGCCTTTCATTTATAAAGAGTATGAAGCTTAGTAAAAGAAAATACACTAATTTGAGCTCATTTGAGTCCTTAGAGCACAGCTGCCTGACCCTTGTTTTCAGTGTCTTGTTAGCTCTGTATTCAGGCTGGCTTGAATGTTCCTCTTGTATTAGTAAAAGAAAAAAAAGAACAGACCAGATTACACTGTGGTAGTTCAAATACAGACTTGGAGAAGACACAACAGCATTTGTAGCTGTACATGGTATCTAGTGTACACGGAATTTTTTTGGAACAGGATAGAGGGAAACTGTGGAAGAAAATTTCTGGCTAAGTATCAAACAGATATTTAGCTGATTTTCTTTCCAGCCTGCAGCACTTCTGGCAAACTGTGGAAAGCAAAATTAAAATAAACTTTGAGACAATTGCTTTATCATCTTCAGATTGCTATAATGACTTTCTAGGACTGCAGAATGTGTTTGCTTGTGGTCCTAAATTCAAAATGAGAATTAGCTCAGGAAATTCATTGCCAAAGCGCATGCAAGAGACCAAGTGCCTAAAGAAAATTCACCATCCTTACCTAGATGGTGAGTCTTCCTATTTGTACTGGAAAGTGTTAAAATAATTTCTTGACTTACAAAGTTTTGCCAGCAGCTTCTCAGTTTATTTTTCTTTCCCTATTTTATAGTCTCTTTCAATAAGGGAATTCAGTTGAAGTTACGTTTTTTAAAGAGTGCAGTGTTCATAAGTAGTAAACAATTCCGTAGGGGAGTTGGTTTTCTGTGGAGGGAAATTTAATCAACATTGCAGATCTGAGTTACGGTATACTTAAAAATAGGTAGTCAGTGTTGTTTCCTATGTTGGCTATAAAAAATCAGCAACACTGGAAATAGGAAGGAATATCCTTTTCTCTGAAGCAACTGGGGGAGGAGCCAAAATTAAAACGTTCTTTCGATTTTGTTTTCTTTGTACATATTGGTCCAGATTGAAACTATTTGAGGTTTGACTGTATCTTGTGATTCAGTTGCTTAGCCCTTCTTTATTAGAGTTTTTGATTTCACATATATATGAAATAGTTTCTCTTTAAAGAAGACCTATGTTTTTCTGGCTGTCAGAATTTTGATTAGCTCACTAGAAGTAAAATGTTTTGCTTTTTGGGAGCCTTTTCTTTTGCAATCTGCACAAGAGAAAAGAATAAAACACAGCCCTAAAATGTGTAGCAATATGCAAAGGAAAAAAAATCTGAAGCACTATGCACTGAGGAAATATGGTGGTATTTTCTATGAAATACACTTAGCAATCACAGTTGCTTTAGAGTAAAATGGGACCTGATCAGTAATCGAGGTGTCAGAATTTCTTGCATTCAGTATAGGTTCTAAATTTTTCTCTTTCTTTACCTTCTAGTAACTATTATTGTAGACAATAGAAATGCTTCCATTCCTCTCCTTATAACCACTACTAAGATGTAATTTTGTGATTTAGTGCAACTTTGAGAAATAGGAAGGTGGTTTATTTCCATCTTTTACAGATTCTTGTTTTCATCTGTGTACACTGAAACCTGTAGGGACCAAAATTATTCAACTTGCAACAAACAAAAATGAAAAGCTCTTTGCTTATTTTTATTTTTGTACTGTACTAGAGATGGATTCCACTGTTATTCGGAGTCTTTGTCATAGTAATTTCATTCGTTTTTTTGAATGTTTATTCTTCGTGTCTTCAGAGGTCATTAGATTTTCTAAGCATATAAATCTTCTGCATGCATTAGCTTATGCAGTTTCCAATGCAAGTAGCATAAATGCAGTGTCATTAGTTGCACAGTACCAACAAAACTGAATTCTAATCATGAGGACAATCAGCTAATGATGCTAAAATGTAAAGTAGTGCAGTTCCTCTCTATGGCATCCAGTAACATCGCTCCTCACCTTGCAGTAGATTTGTAAGCAGATGAGTCCAATGCAGCAAAACAATAACTGCATCTGTCAGTTTTTAAAAATAGATGAACAAAGGCTTCCTTTTGCAGGTGGATTGAAAGATGAGTTCTCAAAATAAGCAAATAATTTGAGAATTCTAGAACAATATTACTTGTGAAAACAGAGCACATATGTTCAGTATTGCTATGTTTGGAGATACATAAGTGGTGAAGAAAAGCGTGTGCAGTACGTTTCCATGCAGGGGTGGGAGAAGGCTTGTGTTTCTGTGGATTTTATTTTTATTTTTTGAGATAGTTACATATTTGTGTGTCCCGTAGAAAGTGGGAGTCCTGAATCTCGAGTCAATGCTGTTCACTTCTTGGTCCATAAACTGCCAGAAAAGAACAAAGAGATGCTGGAGATCTTGGTGAAACATTTAGCAAAGTAAGTGTTATGACCTGCTTTCCTACCTTGTCAGAATCCTTGTCTTTGCCTTAGTTTAACTACAAAGGGGCTTAGTTAAGAGCGGCTGGAGCCAGAGCCCGATTTGATGCTGTCACACACAATACCAAGAACCAAACGTGCAAAAGCAGACAAGACGTTTGACTCATGCCGTGTGTGTTTTGGCGGGAAAGGCAGAAATCTAATACCTTAATGAAGCCATATAAGTATTTACTTTAGCAGTCCTGCCAGCAGTTGAGGGTTTGATTGAAGTGAGAAAGGGAACATTATACTTTCTTTTCGCAGATTCTGGCAAAGGGAATAGTGGAGACCTGTTAGCAAATTTAAGTTGGTTTCACACTTGCCCTGGTCCAAGGCTAAGTGCGTTTTATGTATTTAAGCTCAGTAAGAGACTGGTTTTGCTTTTAAATTGCCAGTGGAAGAATGGCTTTTCAGTTTTCCAGAATTTAGTAATACTTTATTTGAAGAAACTCCACAAAGAAACAAATTTCTAAAACATAGATTAAGGAAACGTAATGTTTTCATTTGTAGATTGCAGTTTCCAACAGCAATGGAAATTTTTCATAACCCATTTCCTGTTTTTTCCTTCAATTCTTTTCAAAAAGTGTTTCAAAGCATGCCAAGAGGAATCTAATGACTGTGGCAAACCTAGGGGTAGTGTTTGGACCAACCTTAATGAGGCCACAGGAAGAAACTGTAGCAGCCATCATGGACCTGAAGTTTCAGAATATTGTGGTTGAAATCCTGATAGAAAATCATGAGAAGGTAAGTTTTGCTACATCTTTGCATCTCTGAGAATTGTCTAAATCAATCTGTTAGCCTTAATGTGTAGTGTGGAGTTAAGGATGATGTTACAAATAGCTTAATTCTAAAGAATGTCCTCTACACACTCTATGCGTTTGGTTATTTATATTTTGGTTATTTATATTTGATAGTTATTCCTGTTCATAAGTGAACTGACATTTCATAATGCATATTTTCTGGCAGTGTAAGTGCTTCTGTGTATAATACACCAATAGATTTGCATTATGATGTTTGCATGTGTTTTTTTGATGGGCAAAAGTGACACAAAACTGGAAAAGAGAAAGCCCAGGCTCGGTTTTTAGCTCTTCCATTAAGTACTGTGACCAGGGTTTGAATCTGTCATTTTATGCCATCATTTTTTCTCAGAGTTCACAGAGTAAAAAAGACTTTATTATACTGTGAATTTTATGTGTAAAAAGCATTATCAGAGAGCCAGGTATTAACATTTCCTTTGTTTTCAGCGTAATATATGTTATTTTAAACCTTCGTATTTGAGGTAATGCTGAAAATAAAAGTTGTTGTTGCTGCTGTAGCAGTTGCCAATTGCTAAAGAGCCTTGCATGTATAAGGTACTGTCCAGAATATCCCTGCATGTAATCTGGGATCTAAAATTAAAAATAATAATAAAAAAGTCCTTTATTGGCCTCTTTATTTGGGCACTCCTTTGGGAGTCCCTTGTGTCTAAGCTGACTTCTGTAACTGGATGTTTGAGGTACTTTTTACTGGGAGATGGACAGCATCTCTCTCACTCTTACTGTCAAAAAGAGTGGTTTGGAAAAATCCCAAAATAGGCTTTTCCCTCATGTCTTTCTTAAGCACTCCAAGCATTGACATAATTATTTCTTTTAAAGGTTAACAGTGTTGAAATTGGCTATCTAAGTCAAGTGTTATCTACTCAAAATAATATATGTCTCAAGTTTTCCTGACAATGTAATTACATTTCCTCCCTGATTGATACAGACTGGACAAAGCTTCTGTTGGCATAGCTGTGTCCACATGGTGGGTTTTGTTGGCTGAGTTGACTCAGGGTGTAATGCTGCCCTCACACGCACACTGAGCAGATACGGTATTGTTCTGTTGGAAAAATACTGGGCTGCAGATGTGGCTCAAGTTCTAAGCAATAAATATTCCAAGACTGTAAGCCATGCTATTAATTTTGGACCTTATAAATGAAAGTAAACCTTCCAATAAGCTCATGATTTTAGAGCTATTGCAGTCACCACAAAAACTTAAGACAGTGATCAGTGCCAGGCTGTTTTAATAACAAATGGGGGTGGACTTATGCTTATTTGAATCGCTAGATCACCACAGATTATCACCATCCTTTTCTAATGCCAGCTCAGTCACGTCTTTAATAACTGGACATCAATTTTATATTTGAAACATTAGTTTAGTGGCCTTTCTTGCTCCTCTGAAAATGTAGAGAAGCAGGGAATGGAAAGTACATCAGTGTAATACTGTATCATTTTCCATAATTCCTTGGTTTTATGCCTTTTTTAGAACTAGAAGGGTATAATTTTTAAGGGATTTCTTTCATTTCACTGCCATTTCTAACAGTGAACTTGCCATCAGTGGTCTGCCTGCAGCAACCTCTCCCACGCTAGTGCTGCTTCCAAGATGGAAGGCAGCCCTAAGTGTGACCTCTGTATTTATGGCAAAGGCAATAGTGTGTTAAGGCATTACAAAAATTTTATAGTAGAACTGAATACGTTACTTTTACAGTGAGCCTTCTTGATTTGGGGCAGACCAAGGACTTACTTTTAAAGGCAAGCAGGGTAATTGTCAGTCTAATGTTCATTTTATATTGCTATTTTGAATTTCTATGTGTTTCAGACTGTCTTAGAGACTTGCATTAGATATTTTATTTAAAGCTCTCGTGAAGTCCTCGGAAAAGTCAACAGCTGTAGGTTAAAATATTTTAAAATATTTCATTCAACCACTACTCCGCCTCTGCTAATTTTTAGCAGCTTCTGCTAATGGAAGCAAAGTTTGGAATTGTAGGAGAGTGAGGGAGTCAAGATGGAGGTACACTGACACAAACAGACTTGAAGCAACATTTCACACTTCATGCATATATAAATATGGCTCTGGTACTCTGCAGAGAGGCATATCTTTTGCCCTGTAGCAAATGAAACGGCTAACCAACTTGTAAACTGTAGAAGCAATAGCCATCAGTGTTTTTGGTTTAAATACAGTAACTTGGTAGGCTAAATGGTAAAAAATTGTTATGATTCCTCAAATATTTTTAAATTCCATTAGTGTTCATTACGTCTCATGTGGGTAGCTTTATTGAACAAGATTCTCTTTTCAATTTTAGGAGACATAATTGGGTTACTGACTTTGAAATCCTGGTGCAGTCATTCCCCTATCATCACTCTGCTGGGTTCTAATTAGAGAATTTTTATGCAGTTTCTGTGTGGAAACCTGAATATGAGGACTTGCCCTGAGATAAGAATATAATGTGTAGTGAATAAGCTTTTTTTTTGTTTTGTTTTGTTTTTGTTTTTTTTTTTCCCAAGCATTGTTGGTATTTACATTTCTTGCTAGAAACCAGTCAGTACAACTCTCACCTTATTTACAGGCTGCATACATACTGCCAAACCGTGCCTATGAACCAATTATAGAAGTTGAGGAGGGGATGTTTTGCAAAATCAGACCAATGCCGAGACTGGAATACTGAAACTAGATCATGCGGCCTGATGTGTTGATTAAATGGCATTAGAATTGCACAGTGATTAAGACTAGGAGGGGATAGAAGAGCATCAGGGAAATAATTGTTTAGCTTTCTTTTCTTGTTAGTTATGGAAAAGTCACCTCTAGGCAGAGTATTTCTCAGTGTCCAGTCAGAAGGTGAGCTGTAGAGGCAGATATCTGTTTTCAAAAAAGGAACAAAAACTAGACCCAAGTTGAGGCAATATTTTACCCAGGACCCTCAGAACTGCCTGTGGAAGCGAGGCCAGTCCAGATGAAAAGCAGACCTGTGAATTACCTGCTGCTGTCATTAAGCTATAGGAGAAGGCCAGCCAGATATGCCATGCAAAACAGGGGCACATTCAGATTTGATTTTTCCATAGTTTTGCCTGGAGTTTTCATATTTTATGCTGACTGGGCTGTGTGCACCAGCACTCCTGTTTGCCTTTGCTTTGCAGGTCTTGAAGGTCAGCGTCATTTCATACTCGGCTGTCTTGTCCCCTGCTCCCTGGCCATGTCTGTCCGATCTCCCTTAATTTTTATGTCCCATATCTTTCCCTTCACTGAAAAAGCATCAAGAAATTCTTGTTTCTGTCTCATCATTGTGTTCATTTTGCTTTGAGGTAACAGGCTCAGCTGTGCTTGTACAATGCCTGGGACAATCTTGGCGTTTAGGTAATCCTCTAATGAGAAGTGTTAGTCAATTCGACCCCCTTAAAAAGGTTCTGATTTCTCTGCCTCCCCAACATGAATTTCCCAACTGTTTCACAGTTTGGAAATCTTGGACATCTCTGCTCTCCTGGTCTTTTCTCTGACTCACAGTGAGGAAGAAGGGTAGTCCACTCCACAGCAGCACGAAGAGCATGCACATGTTCATCTTGCTGTTTGTTATAATGTTTTGGCACCCTGTTAGAATGAATGTCGCTGTTCAAAGGGCTTATTTATTTGTCATTTAGAGATGTCTCAGTGGTAATGTGAGCCATTTTGGTTTCTCAATTCCCTGAACATTATTTTAAGAAGGAAAAAAAACAGACCAGGATAAAAAAAGTCTAAGAAATGAAAGAAGATGAGGGAGGAGGATGGAATAAAAATCTCAGTGGGACTGGAATATTTAAACCAGCATATGGGGGAGGAAAGAATAGTGAGTACAAATAGCAAGATTACAAAAACAGAAAGAAAATGAAAATTACAGTGAAAGAAAATTAGAGGAAAAAAATGAGGGGCTAGATAGAGATCCCTTCTGCAGACTGAGAGGCCAGAATCTGCTGACAGGGAATAGGTTTGTTTAAAAGATACCTTTTACTAGAATTTAAACAACCTGTGGGCAAAATTATCTTAAAGACATTCATTCTGAAAAGCTCAGTAATTCCTATATATAAAGCTGATACACTTTATCTTTTTATAAAAGGGAAATATTTTATGTACTTTGGACAAAATATGTCTTTCTTTTAGCTTTGATTTGTTTTCTGTTTTATTTTTTAAAGGAAACATAAGTGTTTTAATTTTTCTTGCTTTGGGCACTTCTATGATCTTTTTTTCTTTTTTAAACTAAAGGGAAGAAAAGAATTTAATACTACTGAGCACTTAAGCCAACATCAACTTCATATAGTAATCCCTGAAAAATCTTTAGTCTTAAAATGTATTACAGTGCATAATACATGCAGTATTCGTGAGAGAGAAGAAATGGAAGCAGATGAAGTTGTTTTTTTTAGAATATGAAGCAGCACAGTCAGGTGTCTCCATAAGCCATTCTGTTGCAGGTAAATGCTTTAGGGTAGAGTGGCACTGTCATCATGTAAACTTCAGGCTATTTTTTGGCAACACGGCGCATCTTTTGAAGGCACACTAAAGGGACACATGAGAAATACCGAACAGGGCTTGTTTCAGCTTTCATGTTGCTTTGCCTTTGACTGCAAATGAGGACCAAGAAGCAATGCAAGTGTAATTGTGGTGGTTTGCTCTGGCGCAGCAATTTGAAACTTCACCAGTTTCTCAAGTCAACAAGTGTTTGACTTGGAGGGGGGGAAAAATTACATTAAAATATTTCCATTAGGGCAGAGTTTGTAAAAAGACACGTGAGCTTCGGTTCAGGAAGGTATTCAGCATATGCTAAACTTTAAGCATGTAACTAATCAGAAGTGTCATTGGAACTATGCCTGAACTTAATTCTAATTACATGCCTTAATGATTGGCTGAGTCTGAAGCAGAAAGGGCAACAGGCACAAGAAGGAAATTCTGGTAGGAGTCAGAACAGTGATTTCATTCCACTA